GTAAATTATGCCTGGAACACTGCTGGAAGCAAAAAGGACAAAACTGGAGTTGCCCTACTGCAGGCACGTCATGAGAATGTCAGGGTTCTTTGGAAATGACAACGATGCCGGAAAAAACAGGCCCCAGGAAAAGAGGAAGACTTAATAGGAGATGGATTGACTGCACAGAAGATGCCATAGATGAGTCTACAGGGTCTGGGTAGGGTTGTTGAGGACAGGACATCACTCTTTTATAGGGTCCCTAGGACTGAGTGCTGACTCGATGGCATATAAGACACACAGAGATACATAAGGAATTCTGTCCTATGCGTGTTTGTAGTAAGTATGTATTTTTAATATTTGCTTTTTAGGTTTTCCCTTTTTAAAATATTTGTTTCCCCTTTTCTTTATTTTTTAAAAACATCTTATTGATTATGCTATTACACTTGTCTCAATTTTTCTCCCTTTGCTGCCTCCACCCAGCACTCCCTACTCCTTAAGGCAATAACCTCATCATCTTTCATGTCCAAGGGTCATGCATATGTTTCTTGCATACTACATTTCCTACTGTACTTTACTTCCCCATGGCTATTCTGTAACTATCTGTATTTATAATCCCCTCATCTCATCACCCATTCCCCCCCACACCCCTCCATCTGTTAACCATCAAAATACTCTACTTATCCATGATTCTCTCTGTGTTTTTGAGAACTCCTTGAAACAGAAAGTTGGCATTTGTGCTTCCTGTCATTACCGGAACCAGTAAATAGAGACAAGGATTTAACCTTGATTAAGATGCTTTATTTCAGATGCTGGAGATATGAGATTATGCTAGGTTATGTACCTTCAAAAACTGTCTTAACTTTTCATCTCAAGCCAACCTTTTTTATAAGGAGAAGAATGGGTAGACAAGAAATTTAGGGAAAAAGTTAGTGGGATAAGAGTTGCAATCCAGCCAGCAATTTTCCTAGTATTTCTTTTTCTGCTCATCAACAATTCTTTATCTGGTTCCCTCCCTGACACACAATGGCTTGGATACCATCTCTATTGATTGCAGACCCCTTGGGGCACAAAGATTGAATTGCTTGTTGACCTTCTAGAGTCAAGTAGGTCATCCATTCCAGTTCCTAGAATAACGGCTTTCCACGGGCATTAATCATTTAGGCCTATCAGCTATAGATAAGACTAAAATCTTTAACTCTCTAGTTCCCCCATTACCATAATCTGAGTTTTCTTGTTGCGGGTTTTGTTTTTCTGCATCTAGTATAACATTTATATACTAGAAGGAAGACCTATAGTATTACACTAGTAACACTGATTAGGAATGGAAAGTTCCCAATACTAGAAATGGAATAGTCTGAGTCTTTTGGTTGGCAAACATGCCTGCCAACCAATGAAGCCTTCACACATACCACTATAATATTTTCTTAAACTAATAATATCTTTTTCTCCTTCATCTACTATCATTTGCACCTATGATAAGTTAAAGACTCTCCAGATAAATAAAGACTCTCTACTATTTCATGATTCGCTGAGACAGAGAGTACTGAAACATGGAGAATTACTCCTCTTAAAATATATTCTCTATGATATAAAATTGTCAGCAAACACTGGCTGGTATGGCTCAGTTGGCTGGTTGTCATCCTGAAAACTGAAAGATTGCCATTTCAATTTCCAGCCATTCCACACGCCTATGTTGCAGGATCCATCGTCAGTCAGGGCATGTGCAAGAGGCAACAAACTGATTGATGCTTCTCTCTCACATTGATGTTTCTCTCCATCTCTTTCTCCCTCCCTTCCTCTCTCTATAGAATCAATAAAAGAAAAATAAATAAATAAAAATAAAACTGTCAGCAAGAAAGTCAAGAGATTTTCAATTGCTGTATTACCAGTTAAACAAGAGTATTGAACAATGTCTTGATAGTTCAAATTACCTATAACTCTTATACCTAATCTCTGTAGTGATTTATGAGCTGTGGGTAAAAATATATCACCCACTTTCTCCACTGGGCTACATAATCTATGTGTAGTATACCTCTGCAAATATAGTGACTATCCAAAAGTAGCTTGCGAACCAAAGTGCTACCCACTCAGTCTAATTGCCCCATACCCTTTCTCTGGCCTGCCATGAGCTTCTAAAGACCTATTTTTGAGAACTGTCAAGTATTTCTGTTCTCCTCACTTTACAGAGGATGGAAGTGAGATTTACGGACGTTCAGAAAATCTAGTCCTCAAGGTCACAAAGGTAGCAGGTTGAGTTTCAGATTCAAGCATTCTGGCTCCAAAACTCGGGTGCTTAACCATTATTCGGAAATGCCCGAGTCACTACTTTGTTACGTTTTTCAGTCATTTGTGGATCCTTTTGTATCACTGTGGAATGCAGCTTCATGATTTCTGGGTTCCTTTCTCCTCTTGAATGTCTGAAGCTCTGCTCTGTTCTCAGATAAGATACCCACTGTATATGTTAGCATGAGCGTGTCACTTGTCTTTTTTGCACCTTATCTTCAAAACAAAGCAATTGTGCTAGAAGCTCACTCCTCAATGTCTCTCTTGATATTAAATTTAATAATTCTCTCAATGGTACTTAGACTTTTATTCTCAAAATATACCACTTTTGTTGAAACCTCTCACAGAAACCTTAGCCTATAAAGGAATTGGTTGAGAGGTCCCGTGGGAGAAGCTCTCAAACACTAAGCTGTCACCAGGGACCTACAGTCAGAACTCTATTTTATAACATAGCCCTATGGTTAGAACAGCCACCTCCTTAACTTCCTCTTTTCCTCCATTAAGAACTTCCTTCATCTTTGCGCAGACAAACTACACGTGGCTCACCATAGCTGCCTGAGCACAGGATTGCAATTCTTTGTTTTTCTTGTGCAAATCTTTATGGTGACAGAATACTTAGTTGACTTTTTTATGGCTGGCATTTCCAATTATGTCATATCAAACCAGATTCAGTTTCTTCTTGTTATTTTTAAAAGTCGTTTTCATGGGCAAGTGAAAGCAGGTGTCATAACTGATATCTGAAGGGCTTTGGCCCAATGTAGTGATCTACAAAACCCACAGATCAGGGACTTGTGCTGTAAAGTCTTCTTCTGTGCCCCAAATTCCCTTCTCCTAATTTCATTGGCAAAAGTCTGATGAAAAGCAAAGCTTTTTTTTTTGAGGTAAAACAAAATCATTGCCTATGTTTATGCTTGATATTAATGACATATGAACATTGATGTTCATAAAATTTTTATGTTCTTAAAATTTTTGTTATTATTAGTGTTGACATAAGCATTGCTTCCACATTGCTTTGAAGTTCTCAGAAATTAGAGATCACAACACACCAGCTCATATAAGCCTTCTGCTTCTTGGTCATTCTGCAGACTTGACCGACCAGTCTCATGAATGGATAATTAAGCTGTTTTCCGTTACTTTGCTATTAAAAATGGCAAAAATAGGTATAAAGAACATCCTTGCTCACCTTCACATACACGTAGAAATACATCTGAAGGAGAAAGTTCTACAAGTAAAATTGCTGAGTCCTAAGAATCCTTAATATATGACTATGCTACCATCTAATAAAGTTTATGAAATTTATGAGAGTAAAAAAGAGCATTTATATTGGTGCCATCTTTTAAAGGATCCTTTATTACGATAACACTAAATAAAATGTCCATATTTATGCAACTCAGAGTTTGTCCACAAATATTACAAGGTAAACTCATTAGGACTGTTTTAGACCCTTTTGGTGCCTAAGCATCATATCATATAAACATACCCATGTACAGTTATATATCACTCTTGAGATAAGTTGTGGTTGACAGCATGTAAGATTTTTAACAGAAGAGTATCGGTTTAATGTATATTAATGTATACTAGTGTTTTGGAATCCATCCTTTTTTCCCCTAGGTGAAAACATTTTGCCTTGCCTCTAAGAGCTTGCTGACAATTTGCCCTTGAAGCTAGTTTGAAAAGTTAATTACCTCAGTCCTTCCTGTAAAATTTTAAGAACTATTTATTTTTTCTTCTCTTTTTTCTTAACTAGTTTAACAAGATTTCGGACCTTTAGCCAAGGCTTTGCAGCAAGAGAAATATTCCTGAATTCCCTAGTCCTAGAAAATATTCACAACAGTAAATAGGTCAAGTCTGTATTGTCTAGGGAACAAGGAGATTTTTGTTGTTTTAAAAGAGCAATCCTGTGAGAGCAGGCTTTGGCTGCAGGTGAGTGGTGAACATAGTGACAAAGGACTGTTTCCTTTTTCCTACAAGAATGTTGCTGTCAATTGTGTGTCTTTGAAAGCGATTTTTGATAAGGATTTGAGGCTCCAGTAAGTTTTGCGAAGCCAGACTATTTCGCCAGGGAGTTTTTCTGGGTACTTCAAAAGAAGATAACAATGCTGGAAAAGGGGGTCAAATTTGAATAGCTGTTAGGAGGCTGTCAGAAATATGCTTGGAGACCCTTTCTTTTGTTTCACTCATGGCAAGTACTGGGTCATTACGGAATTTACAGTGTACCTTGAAAGGCTCGGTTTAGCCTTTGGCTAAAGAAAATCCAAGCTACAAACTCGACAGATTTGGCCACGGTTTCTGTAAGCAATTCCAACTACAACGCTGGCGTCCACCAGCGTCACCCTCAGGACAGAGGGTGCAGGGGCTAGGGGGTTGGGTGGTGGGGAGTTCAAGGGCAAAGGCTGCAGTGAGAGGAGGCTATTTGTGTGGCCTATATGCAGATTACTGGATTTCAACATTAAGCCAGCTTTTCTCTACGTTTCCCGCGAACCTCTGGTCTGACGTCAAACAAACGCCAGACGGGTTCACTAAAACAAACAAGGCCGCTTCCTCAGGTGTGGGACTACGGAATTTTGTTTGCAGGGACAAATAACTTGGGAACGTAGTCTGTCGCAACGAGGTACAAGCTACACCGGGAAGGGCGGGCCGGCGACGCTCCAAGCGACGCCTCCAATTTCAGCCTATGAGAAGCGGGCACCGCGTCAGGCTTTTCACTCATTGGGTCGTGCTGGCTCCGCCCCGAAAGGATCCCGGTCTTCGCGGCCGCTCCAGTCTCAGCCCGAGTCTCAGCGTCCGGCTGTCGTCCGCTGGCTTCCCGCAGCCCGCGTTCCTTTAGCTGCCTTCCGCCTGTTTCTTCTGAGTCTCTTTCAAGCCCTCACGCACCAGGTTTCCTAGTTTTATTATTCTCGTTCTCTTTCTCTCTCCTTCTTCGCAGCTTAGCATGCAGAAAAAAGACCTCTCCCCTCACGGTTTCCTGCCTAGCTTCCAACATTTCGCCACGCAAGCCATCCATGCGGGCCAGGAACCAGAGCAATGGAACTTCCGAGCTGTAGTGACCCCCATCACCTTGTCCACCACGTTCAAACAAGGGGCTCCCGGCAAGCACTCGGTGAGCTGGGACTCTCTGGGGCGGTCCAGGGTTGGGCGGGAAAAGAGATGGTTTACAAATTGAAAAGGCACCCAAGTAATTTGTAAAGTGGCAAACACATCAGGAAGGCAGCCGGAAGGATGTTTGCTTCACCTTGCAATAAAGCTTTTTATTGGATGGTCCAATGGTCATATTTCTTTTGATGAGCAGGACTAGAAGGAACAGTCTGTCCAACTTGCCATCTAGATCTGGACTGAAATTTATGTGATTCTGGCAAATCTGCAGTTCATAACTGAGGGCCATAACTTCCTTGATTACTTTTAGTAATAACAATGATAAAAATACAGGGAGTCAGATAAAAATTAAGGGTTTCATAACTCAGAATCAAAATAATTCCCAAAGCTGTATCCAATTATTAATACTTGCTATGTGCTAAGTACATACTTACCTGTGCTATATCAAGTGTATTACATGTGTTGTCACAGATAATCCTGACCACAGCCCTAGTTTGAACTAGGTTCTCATTGTTCTTATGAAAACACTGAGATTTAAATACAAGTAGCCCAAGGCCACAGGTCTAATAAGTGGTGAAACTGGAATTCCAGCCCTGTTCTGGAACCCTGCTTTCTACTTTGTGCTTTACTTCAGTAATGCTAACAATAATCTAAATCATCGCATCATTTAAGCAGTGTGGCTCAGTGATTAAAAAGCACTGATCATATGGTCAAGCCTTCACTAGATGTGAATTCTGACACGACCTCTTCTGAGCTGGGTGACCTTGAGCAAAGTTGCTTAACCTATTCAAGCCTAGGGTTGATTCTGTGTAAATGGGGTTAATAATAGTACCTACCACATAAGTTGTTGAAATGTATGTGAAACTGCATGGTGCATTATAAGTGCTCAGTAGTTTGGTACTGCATAGTGCTCACATTTACAATTTTTTCATTTGATCCTCAAAACAACCCGGTTAGAGGTAGGACAGGGATTACACACTTTTTATAGAAAAGGAACCGACCCAGAGTCATAGATAAATGATCCATAAGGCATATGAGAGAGCCCTCTTTGTTAATCACATACCTTTTCCCATTTGTATAGCATGCTTGATAGATCTTGGAGTATTGAAAGTTTCTGAGGTTCAGAAAAAAGTTAGGTAAATGAAATTTGTAGGTCCTAAACCTTGATTAAACTTTAAAAACCTCTTTTGAATGTATGTTATATTAAGCTGAAGAAAATTCTTTTAGACTTAACCCTTTGTTTTGTCAGGTAGAGTTCTAAGGGCATTTCTACAATTGTTTTAGGCTACTTCTAGCTACTGTATTTTGAAGTTGGTATACACACACATACTGTCTTCCAAGCATGCGGCTTGTTCCTAGTGCAGGGTTCTGTGAATGTGTGGCTGCTGGAGCTTCGTCACCAAATTTAACCATGTAGCTATGGTATGAATCAATGTTTTCAGAGAGCCAGCAGGGATGCTAAAATCCATAAACTCCTCTTAATACCCTTACAAAATAAGAGCACTAAAGAGAATTTGAGGAGCTGAATGAAAAGCATCTAATTCTCCAGTTCCATTTGGAAAGTTATTGAAGGGGCCAGAGGTTAGGAATATGCCTCTAAAATATACTTCTCCCCCAGCCCCCCTGCCGCGCTCTTCCCCCCCCCCCCCCCCGCCGCAACAAAATTTCATCTCTACAGTGAATATTTGCAGAAGCATGGGGTATCTTTCTGTGTCAGTAGCCACATGAATTCAAACAGTTTTTTTTTTTTCCTATCTGGTGAGTACAACTGCAGGTCACATCAGGTAGATGATGGTGTGGAGAGATGAGACTATCTGGAGCCCTATAAAATACATCTACTCAGTTTGTCAAAAACAAACAAACACACACACTAAACAACAAAACAAAATATATTCTGGGAGCTCCTGATTAGGAAATGAAGGTGTAAAGCATGGTTGTGTTTTGTTATGTGCTGTAGTAGGCGGGGCAATTGTGGGGGGAGGCTGGAGGTGAGGGACTGGAGGGCAGAAAATGATAGGATTTTTCCTCAATGTATAAATTCTGGGTTTGAGTTCTGGCTGTGACTCTCCCTATAAGATCTGGCTTTACTTTCCTCAAAACAGACCACGAGGATTAAATAAATGACTGGATGAACACAGTCAGCATGGTGCCACACAAGTAAACATCACAATGCAAAATTTTAAAAAGTAATGTGTGGAGCTGCTTTGCCAAGGATGACTCTTTTTTGAGTCACTTCTGTAGAGAACAATCTGATCCTTGAGCATTTGTAGAATCCATTCATAGTTTCTGTTAGAAACTAAATGGAACTTGCATCACTTCTTAGGAAATGAAATACAGGTTAGAATTAGCTTAGCTCTTGTCTCAGATGAGTCCCTTTTCTTGATGTCCCCAGGTTAGTGGGTAAGAAGGTAAGTCTAACATAATAATAATGCTAGTAGTAAGGTATTTTATACCCATTTGCAGATATTGAGATTGACTCTGGGAGATGTTAAGTAACTTACCTTTTGGCATGTAGTTCCTAAGTGACAGATAATTCTAATTCAGCCCTGGCTGGTGTAGCTCAGTGGTTTGGGCGTGGGCCTGCAAACCAAAGAATCATGGTTCAATTCCCATTCAGGGCACATGCCTGGGTTGCAGGCCAGTTCCCAGCAGGGGACGCACAAGAGGCAACCATACATTGATATTTCTCTCCCTCTCTCCTTCCCTTCCCCTCTAAAGATAAATATTTAAAATCTTAAAAAAAAAAAAATTCTAATTCGGTTTGGCTGACTTCAGAGCCTCTCCATACCACTGCACTGTTATGCTTTTAATGGCAAGACATGTCATAAATAAATAATAAAAATTCACTGTAGTAGAATGAACCCATAGTTGTGCAGTAGTCTCTGTTATGACCTTGATAATAAATGTAAATTTCTTAGAATGAACTCTGACTTCTTTTCTTCAGGGTTTTGAATATAGCCGTTCTGGAAACCCCACGAGGAATTGCTTGGAAAAAGCTGTGGCAGCACTGGATGGGGCTAAGTACAGTAAGTGATTTCCAATTCAAAGTTTGTGAAGTCTGGAATCTATTCTTATATGTATGGATAAAACCCCAGAAGCACCGAGTGTAGTACTGGAATGAAAAAAGGATGAGATAGTTCAGAAGTATTATTTTATTAAAACGCTGAATTATTTGCCCAAGGTCCCACAACTGGTAAACTATGCATGTGTATAATTATTAGGTAAAAATAAATATGAATAGAGGCAAAAAGGCAGAATTTTCCATTTGGTATTCATGTAGATATTCTCCTCTGAACCTGTCAGTATAAACAGATAAAAATTAACTAAGTTTTACAACACTATTTATGAGAATATAAGCTTTCTTATATTCTGGTTCATTTACCTGATTATTTGTGCCTAAGAATAGCAGCAAGATACATTTGCACTAGGCAGGTGGCATTGATAGTGTGCTTTGAGAGGTTAGGGGTTAATCCTTGAATGTTGTATTTTTTTTGTAAGGGAGTGGATTGCTACTAAATCATTTTGTATGTTTTATATAAGTAATACTAAATGAGCCAAAATAGTGAATAGAAAATAAGAGTCTTAGGAATTTCCTCACAGCAGGAGTGTAGGAATTAGAAGTGTTAATAGTGTGAGTTACTGGGTTTGGGATTTGGGGAAGGGGGTTAGTTTTCCTTTGGATGAGATTAAACACAAAACTGCTGAAATTCAGTGCTGTGTGGGGAACACTGCCTTGTGCAGTGGGTATGTAGACTAAGTGTTCACATGTCAGACACTTTTTTTGAGTGAGATCTAGAAAACATGGTTATTTTCAACTGGGTTTTGAAGTCTAGCCTTTTATGTGAATGATTTATTGGACGACAGATCTGCATAGTACAAAACCGCAATTCTAACCTACAATTTTCTGAGATTTCACAATAATTTTATTTTTCAAGTTAATTAAATTATCCCATCTGCCAGTCACAGGTGATTTTTGTTTGTTTCTTCAAGATTTTGTTTATTTATTTTTAGACAGAGGGGAGGGGTGGGAGAGAGGGAGAGAAATATCAATATGTGGTTGCATCTTGTGCACCCCCTAGTGGGGACCTGGCCTGCAACCCAGGCATGTGCCCTGACTGGGAAAAGAACCAGCAACCCTTTGGTTCATAGGCTGGTGCTCAATCCACTGAGCCACACCAGCCAGGTCCATCACAGGTGATTTTTTTAATATCAAGGTGTTCTATCAATATTTTTTACTGTGTTCAATGTGCACAATGCCAGTTATTTTTATTATGTTTGTTCAACATGAGATCACTTTTGTTTAAAAGGATTCCACATTTGCCTTGGCTGGTGTAGCTCAGTGGATTGAGGGTGAGCTTGTGAACCCTGTAAGGGATCACAGTTTGATTCCCAGTCAGGGCACATGCCTGGGTTGCAGGCCGGTTCCCAGGAGGGTATGCATGAGAGCCAACCATACATTGATATTTCTCTCCCTCTCTCCTTCCCTTCCCCTCTAAAGATAAATGAATAAAATCTTTTAAAAAATATTAAAAAGTTAAAAGATTCCACATTAAAAATTAAAAATAAAATTTATTAAATTTATCAGATATACCTCAGGTCTGATTTTGAGTTCTGTTAAATGATTTGCTCAATTTTATATCTATATAGTTGAACCATATCTTAGCTCTATTCCTCAAGTTTGAAATTTCTTTAGAGCCTGATATGTTTAGACTGTAATTTAAATGGCAGTTGGTCTTTTATCTCAGAATTTTTAATTTATTTTTAGAGAGAGGGGAAGGGAAGGAGAAAGAGTGGGAGAGAAACATCAGTGTGTGGTTGCCTCTCATGTGTCCCCTGCTGGGGACGTGGCCTGCAACCCAGGCATGTGCCCTGACTGGGAATCGAACCAGTGACCCTTTGCTTCACAGGCCCGTGCTCAATCCACTGAGCTATACTGGCCAGGGCTTATCTTTGAATTTCATTAAAAAAATTACTTACTTAGGCCCTGGCTGGTGTAGCTCAGTGGATTGAGCACGGGCCTGCGAACAAGACAATCGCAGTTAGATTCCCAGCCAGGGCACATGCCTGGGTTGCAGCCCAGTTCCCTGCAGGCCAGTTCCCAGCAGGGGATGCATGAAAGGCAACCATACATTGACGTTTCTCTCCCTCTCTCCTTCCCTTCCCCTCTAAGGATAAATAAATAAAATCTTAAAAAAAAAATTACTTAAAGTGTTTCAGAGAAATGTTTCAACCAAAGCAAGATTTTATATATATCTAAATTTTATTATATAGATATTTTGTCTTTGAAGTGGAAAAAGGGCTCTGTAATGGTATTCATCAGGTGACTTCTGGTGACTCCTCAGTGATGACTGTCCTATTAGTAGAGAGAGGGACATAAAGTAATGCAAGTGAATACTGTAGGTGTTTTTTTACCTATTGGCCTGACCTTTTGGTGTACTCTAACTTGGTTTTTATTTTAGGTTTGGCCTTTGCTTCAGGTTTAGCAGCCACTGTGACTATTGCCCATCTCTTAAAAGCAGGAGACGAAATCATTTGTGTAGATGATGTATATGGAGGTAGGTGACCTCTCGAATTTGTGTTGTGTTAACTGGTATTTAAAGATAATAAAGTGGGTCCTTAATGATATTAACCATGTTGCCAAGATTATTGATTATTTATTATCTTTTGAAACTATATAATAGATACCTCCAAGTTGTCTCAGACTGGGTCAAAAAGGAGCGTCAATGCTTAGGACCATGCTCTGGAACAGCGTATAGAAGAGACTGAATAATAATACTTTTAGTTAAGCTGTTGGAATGAGGATGTAGGGCTTGATCAACTTTTAGACATATTCTGCTCTAGGGAAGACAGTGTTTAAAGGGAGAATGTTCTAGTATAATTTAAATTTGGTTACCAGCATTGAAGATTAACCGTTGCAACCCAGGTCACTCTCAAAATAGCTTAACTCTACCCATCCTTTTACCCTTTCCCCCTTTTGGTTTTAGGGAATGTTTTGAAAATCTTTTGAAAGTTATGTACCCCTTCCTCCAAAAAGTTTATTTAAGATGACATCCAACGTTTATCATTTTAATTTTAGGGTCAAGGGGGCCAACCCCTTGAAGCAGGTCACTTGATCCAAATTTAAGAACTTTCATTCTAAGGAGTTTAAATGCTAGTTAAAGTGGCGAGTGGGTAGGTAAAGAAGACAGATTGCCCTACCTTTAAGCAAGACTCATTTTTGTGTTTAAAACAATAATAATATTTTTTTTTTGCAAATGTACGTGTATATTCCTAATGCTTCCAAATAATTAAAATGTGATTTGTAGAATATTATTACCCTATTTGAATAAAGACTTAAATCTGTCAGGGACTCACAGATCAGAAATTACGAAGGGCTGTATGTTTTATCTTAGGTCTCTATTATAGTTTGTTGAATTAAAATGGTAAAATCTCAAACCTTTTGTTACTTTTATAATGCATTATAAAAACCTCGTGGCGAAAACAGCACAAAATCTTGAAACTTGCTGTTGATTTGTAACAATTGTTTATACTAGTTTTCAATCTTGTGCTATTTAACTTCAGTCTCTATATAACATTAGAAATTCAGTGTAGAAGTTCAGAGTGTTTGTTCTTGCTTAACTATTAATAATAGCAGTTTTCCCTTTAAATTTTGCACACATAAAAATCAAACTCCATAAAAGAAATTATACTAAGATGAATGATTTATCTTCTTTCACTATAAACTGTAGTTTGATTTATATCATTTTTCTATGAAAGCTTTCAGAACCCTGTAACAAAAATATTGAGAAAGTACAAAGAATAATGACTATTTTTTTTTCTATTACCCAAGTATAATCAGATTAAGATTCATTTTGAACAATTCATTGACCTTGGTCCATTTATTTTAGATTTGAGTAATAGGAAGACATTGTTTTTTTTTTTTTAAGAATTTTATTTATTTGTCTTTTAGAGGGAAGGGAAGGAGAGAGGGAGAGAAATATCAATGTATGGTTGCCTCTCGTGCGTCCCCTGCTGGGAACTGGCCTGCAACCCAGGCATGTGCTATGACTGGGAATTGAACCACGATCCTTTTGTTTGCAGGCCTGCACTCAATCCACTGAGTTACACCAGCCAGGGCTGTGTTATTTGGCTCTTGAACTTTTTTTTTAAAAAGCCGAGCCTTATATTCTTTATAATATATAATAGCCAAACTATTTAACCAAAGTAGAATTGCTCTTAATTGTATTTGTCTTTGCCATTGACACTTCCTTATATTTTTAAGGTGATTTTATCTATAAGGTATAATCATTACAGTTATTTTTTAAAAATATTTTATTTGTTTATTTTTAGAGAGAGGGGAAAGGAGGGAGAAAGAGCAGAGAAATGTCAATGATACGTGAGGGAAACGTGGATCCATTGTCTCTTGTGTATGCCTAACTGGGGATCTGGCCTACAACTCAGGCATGTGCCCTGACTGGGAATCAAACCAGCGACCTTTCAGTTTGTAGGCTGGCACTCAGTCCACTGAGCCACAACCAGCCAGGGCTCACTAACATTCTTAATGATTATAAGGAATGAATATTCTTAACACAGTGTCCTTTACATTTCATCTGATTCTCTTCTGCCTCAGGTACAAACAGGTACTTCAATAAGGTGGCATCTGAATTTGGATTAAAGATTTCTTTTGTGGATTGTTCTGAAACCAAACTACTAGAGGAAGCTATTACACCAAAAACCAAGGTACTCAGTTTTCAGTTTTGTCTTTTTCCCTGTGATGCTTTGTTTTCATTATTTCTGTTTCACAGGGGACATAATTTTTTGAATAACAAATTTTATTAGAAGCCATTGGGAACCATCAACAGGAATAAAATAGGTCTGGTGTCTCCTTATTACAGCATAATGATCAGGCACATAAATTTCAGAGTGGGTTTCGAAGTCTAATTCTGCATTGTAGTTGGTGTGTGATTACTGGCAAAGAATTTAAACAAAGTCTCAGTTTCTTCATTTACAAAATGGGGATAACTGTACCTGCTTTACAGAAAGGTGGTTGTGTGAATTAAATGAGATAAAGCATATGAAATGCTTAGTATAGTTCCCAGTACATAGTAACTGTTAAAAAATTTTGTTAGCAGAAGCACACAATTCTTAACTGCATTCCCAAGCTAGTATTGGTAAAAGAAGTCATCACAGAAATTGGGTTACAGAAAAGGAAGCTTGCCAAGCCCCCTGAACCCTAAGTATAGTGGCTTTTTAAGGGTTCTATGGGATACTTCAGCGAAATAATAGAAGTAAAGAATGGACCACTAGCAATCTTTAGCCTCCATCCTGAGAAGCTTGTATGCCACCGGAAGGTGTTTTGTGCCTCAGTGAATGGCATGTGTGATATTCTTTCTTGGGACCTCATTTAAATTCTGCATGGGTGAGAGAAGGACCAGTTCTTTTGTAAGTCAGCCCTTTCCAACTTTTTGCTAATGATTAAAAGCTTTCATTTGTACTCAAGATCATATTGCAGCGACTGCTAAAAAGTGAAAATTCTTTTCACACAAATATGTTGAAGATTAACACCAAGGTGAAGTTTGAATGAATAAGGTTTATTTTCAAAGAGACTTTTTTTTTTAAAATCTTTCTTGGGAGAAAAGATACTTGTTAAAATAGTTGGTATGTCTTTCTAAGGAAGGAAAGCAAATAGTGAGCATATTAATTCTTGTCAACAGAACTTTATGTAATGTCGCTTTAGCGACTTGAAATATTTTTCCACTTGAAAAAGTAGATTTTTTGCGTGTGAATCTACTTTGTATTTATTTACTTGTTTTTATTTTAATTGTTATTATTACTTTTAACAGTAATAATAGAGAGGGGAAGGGTGGGGGAAAGAGGGGGAGAGAAACATTGATATGTGAAAGAAACATCAGTGGTTTGTCTCTCACCACCCCCAACCAGGTACTTGGCCTGAAACCCAGGCATGTGCCCCGACCAGGAATTGAACTGGTGACCTTTTGGTTTTCAGGCTGACACCCAACCCACTGAGCCACGCCAATCAGGGCTAATTATTATTATTATTATGTTTAATAATGAGTGGGAATAATAAATATTGACCCAGAAATAATTTTTATAGATTCTTTAAATAATTAAATTTTTTACAATATATATTACTTTAACTACCTTATTTTTTCCCACAGTAAATCCTAGAGTTTTTGCCCATATATATGTAATAAAAAAAGAAATATTAACTCATAGGAAGAAATCAATAGATAATGTCATTCATTCAATACAGTGCCACCTTGTTTAACACATAGAATTCTTTTTTTCTTTTTCAATAGCGATCCAGCATCCACTGTGTGCCTGAATTGAGCTGGAGTTTGCAGTATAGAGATATGTGATACTCTCTTTTTCTTAAGTGAGCTGTAGCCAGATTTTGTGTTGTGTATGTGTTGCTTCTCTTCTTTACTCTAAAACCCAAGTTCTTCAAGTCCTGGGCACTCATTTTATAATTTCTAGTGCATCTGGCATTATTTAAGTTAGTATTAAGGATATTTTTGGCATCATAGAGATAGTTCTCTTTTTAAAAATTCTAGGTAATAAAAATACCTTAGACAATAAATGTTTTCTTTGACAATAGAATTTGCACACACTGAATTATGTCTTTTGAAGACACCCTCTTTTGTTATGTAAAATAATTACAATAATTAATTTGCATAGTCTTATACTTTTATGCATATTATCTCATTTGATCCTTACAACATCTCTCTCAGGTAAATATGACCAACCCCATTGTATAGACCAAGAGTTTGAGGACTAAAGAGGGCAAGTTACTTAGCTGTGACCTCTCAGAAATTTATGGGGCTCAGATTCAGCTTGGAACCTTTCAACTTCATCATCCAGGCTCTCTCTCTTTTTTTTAAAAATATTTATTTGTTTTTGGAGAGAGGGGAAGGAAAGGAGAAAGAGTGGGAGAGAAACATCAATGTGTGGTTGCCTCTCATGTGTCCCCTAGTCGGGACCTAGCCTGCAACCCAGGCATGTGCCCTGACTAGGAATCGAACCAGCAGCCCTTTGCTTCACAGGCCCTTGCCCAATCCACTGAGCTACACCAGCCAGGGCCATCCAGGCTCTCTTGATATGTCCTCTCAGACAGTTACAAGGTATGGGATGTATGTTTGTATGGTGTTTTTCATAACCTCTTGTCATTTACTGAATTATTTTAGCTTGTTTGGGTTGAAACCCCCACAAACCCTTGCTTGAAGATGATTGACATTGAAGCCTGTGCACATATTGTCCATAAGCACGGAGACATTATTTTGGTTGTGGACAACACTTTTATGTCGGCATATTTCCAGGTAAATGCAAATAAAATTGTTGGATGATTGGTAGACTACACAGACAGCTGTAATCAGGTTGAAAAGATACTGACCAATGGTAGAAAAGACCCAATTATAATTCTAATGTCTCATCAATAACTATGGTTAGATTTTATGAGTGTGAAATTGATTTTAATGTGAACAGGTCCTTCTTTTTCTTAGGTTAATATCTTGTATGGGACTTTGTTTTAAATGTTGTCTTCATTAAAGCTTTTAGGCTTTCTTACAATGTGTAAACTCTGCAAAGATGTGGCCTTATTGTGTGATTGTATCTGTCAGTGCCTTGCACATATAGAGACTTGATTGTTTATGTGCTGGTTACAAGTTGGTAATATTATTTTTTTCAGTCATCCCTAATCTGATTTTATCTGACCAGCCTTCCAAATGAAGGGAAAAGAAAGTCTGTGTGACATCACAGTGTATGTCACACATAGTACTTCTTCATTTCTCTCCCTTCTTTCTAAGTTTCTCTTCCCTCAGCACCTATATATTATGCATGACCCTTTCTGCATAGCCCTTTGCCTTATTTGTATTACAAATTTCTACTGTGTGTTTCACATTGTAGCTATAGGTATTTAGAGTGCTCCTTTTAAACTATCTTTTTTCCCCCAACTATGCCTCTACATACATCTCTCCCCACCCCCAAAGCTTCCCATTTATTTTCATTTCTCTCCTTTTTTCCAGATTCTTCTTCCTCTGTTCTATTTTGCTGCTTTTTGTAGATAGTCTTGGGATCTCTGTAACCGAATTGTTGTCTGCCCCACCCCCTCCTCCGTTCCTTCTCTGTCCTCTGAGCTGCCTAACTTTGCTTCCTTTCCTCCTTAGGAGTCACCTTCTCCCTGCTCTTTCCTTCCTGCCTGTATGTACGTTGTGCTCCTTCTTATTAAACTTCCTGTAGTTCACCTTCATTACAGAGTTCCTGAAACCTGCGTTCATTTTGTTCAGCTCTTCAGTTAGGCCCGTGTTTACAAGCTCAGTTGTTTACATTTCCCTCCTGATGTTTCCTGGTGTGTGAAGTCCACTCAGGCGTCTGCCTCTGGGTTACTGGCTGCTGACTTTCTGGCAATTTTTAAGCTTGTTCTTCACCTTCCTTCATTTTATTCAGAAGGCATTACAATGTTTTGTTCTCCTTCCCTAAAATACTCTTCCTGGCTAAATTGCATCCAGATAGCTTCATGGGCCACTTATCTTCATGATATATGTGGTTGTCCCTTGGTATCCAGGGGGATTGGTTTCAAGAACCCCTATGGGTACCAAAATCCACAGATGCTCAAGTACTTTATATTAATGGCGTAATATTTGTATATAACTCATGTACTTCCTCTTGTATACTTTAATTCATCTCTAGATCATTTAAAATACCTAATACAATGAAAACATCATGTAAGTAGTTGTTATACTGTATTGTTTAGGGAATAATGGCAAGAAAAAAAAGTCTGTACATGTTCAGTACAGATGCAACCAATTTAGGCCTAACTACATAGTACCTGTCAGCAACAGTGTAACTTTTTTTCCAAAACATTTTCCATCCGTGGTTGGTTGAATCTGTGGGTGTGGACCGCTGCAATAGTGTTGACTGTATCTTGAGCTGCTTCTTGTATCATCTTGTAACAGAAAACCTAACAAGGTAGCCTGTTTCTGAATGAAACTCTCCTAGCATTATCTGTTTGTCACAGGTGATTTTCATTCTTAGATTCTTTGTCTCAGTTTCTTAGCCCATGTACCACTGACTGTAGGCCAGTTGATAGAGCATAGGATTGAACAGGCTGAGATACAGTGAGTCTTGTAAGAGATGGCATGAATTGTTATAGCTTGTTACTCATCAGGCTTGGCCCTTTTTCTCCTATTACCATTATTAAATAGGTCCAGTTTCTCTACCTTTCTGAAGCCCACATCACATTGCTCATGACAGGGATGACAATTTGCTTTATTTCAATCTGGATTTATTCCAGTTGAATTAATCAGAGTCACATGGTTTCTAGGCAAAAGATTCCACAAAGTACATCTTTTGAAATGGTCCTCTCACTGTTTTATCTTCATTAAAACTGGATATATTCTCTTTCCTGCCTGACTTTTGTCTTCTGGATCTTCTGTGTCACAAAAGGCAAAATGGGCAGAGTCACGAGCATAAAGTTTCAGAGTAGAGCCTCTGGATTCAGGTAATTGTGGCGTGAGTCCTGGCTCTACCAGTTTTTTAAAGATCTGAGTAATCTGTTTTATTTTTCTTTGTTCCTTTTCCTCATCTGTACAATTAGAGTCATAAAAGTACTGACTTTATTGAGTTACATGAGATATAGTATCTGGTACAAATAATGCTTCTTTTTTATTACAAAACCTTTAAAGTTTATTTACTTATTTATTTATTTACTTATTTACTTATTTATTTAGAGAAATAGGGGAAGGGAGGGAGAAAGAAAGGGAGAGAGACAATGATATGAGAGAGATACATCTATCGGTTGCCTCTCATGTGCCCCAAACTGGGGGCCTGGCCTGCAGTCCAGGCATCCACTGGGAATCGAACAGGCAACTTTTCGATTCCCAGGCTGGCACTCAATCCACTGAGCCACACCAGCCAGGGATATAAAATCTTTTATTACAAAATCATAAGCATGTAATTCTGTAACATAGCAATATCACACTCAAACACACCATATGACGTTTTAGGTGAAATATTCAAATTACTGTCCATCTCGTGTGAGACATTCATGTGCCCTACCAACCACACTCAGGCAACCGTTACTTCTGCTGGACCCTGCATTTTGCGCAGTGCTTCGGTGGCTTATGTGAAATATTTCACATGTTCTTGGCACATAATGAGATCAGCAGAGGTTAATTCTTTCGACCATAGAGTTTACAGAATATTTGTCCTGGAAGAGACCTTAGACATCATCTAGTTTGACTCCATCACTTATTTTAAAGAAAATATAAATGGAAAGATGTTGATAGTATATTGTTTAGTGATGAGGTGATTGCAGCAAAGACATATTAAGACCAAAGGATTAATCTGTAGGACTATCGAGTAAGGAAAAACCATCCAATTAAATTTCTTTATAAGTGAATAGACTTGGCAAAACTAGTATAATAAAAGAGTAATTAAGAGTCAAGGTCATGGCAAACCAAGTGCATAAGCACAACATATATTGTCAAGTTTTAATGATTAGAAATCTAAGAGATTAGTATTATCTTACTTGACATAACAGTTGGTGAATGTTTATTTTATATGATTACTGAATCATAAGAATGCCAACATTTCTGCTGCAGGTAATAAATTTAAGGGCAGTCAGCAACTCTCTAAAGAAACAGTTTCAGAAGACCTGCTGACCTTAGTTTATCTGCTGTTCCTAAAAAATTTGTGCCATTGGATTGACTGTTGGGTCCAGTACTTTATATTTTTATTTGGGGGGCGGGGGTGGTGGAAAGGGAATGATTATATCAGAGATCCTGGAAAATTTTAAGGTGTCATATTTTTTAAAAATTAGAATAAGAATCGTAGTTATAATGGTAAATAGGCAAGTAATGAAGCATATTTTCAAGCGACTTCTTATTTAAAATATAAATATTTGTTCTTTTCAGCGACCTTTGGCTCTGGGAGCTGATATTTGTATGTATTCAGCAACAAAATACATGAATGGTAAGATATGCAGAATCTGTACTTTGAATGTTCTCTTCTTCCAGGGCTCAATGAAAGCAGCAGAGGGCTTGACATTTTGATCTTTTTCTTCTATTATTATTCATGTTTTCTGTGATGCTTATAGAAGTAAAAAATTATACTTTGATTAAATAAAAGATTTTATTTATGGCAAACAAAACTGTGCTCATGATTTATAAGCAGAAATTAAAATTTACTATAAGAGATTATACTTTTATCCTGCTTACAGCTTAAAAAGAAATATTTACTTTTTATATGATTTTTAGTTGATTATTTTAAGTATAACTTTTGCTATTGTCTGATTGTATAAAATTTATTTAAACTTATTCTATAGGGTTTTTTTTTCCAGACTCTTTTCAAGTGAAAGTCATATTTTAGGAATTATAAATTGGAAAAAAAAAAAACCTTACATTGTTTTTAACAGGTTTTGTTTTGTTTTAGGCCACAGTGATGTTGTAATGGGCTTAGTGTCTGTTAATTCTGAAAGCCTCCATGATAGGCTTCGATTCTTACAAAATTGTAAGTATTAAAAGGTCTGGATTATTTTATGTTCTCTGAGGGGCTATATTTAATATTTGTGTTTCCACTAAATATTGTGAAATGATAGCATTCTAGTAATTTGGAAAGAAATGACAAATAGAGGTAAAAAATTAGTGGGAAAATTGGGTTATAAGGATATGGCTAAATCGTAACGGGGCTTTACTTTACAACATGACACACAGGATGAGTTTTGTTATTTTTCAAATCCATGTTAATTTTTATTATAATGTACAGACCAAGTGAATTTTTAGTTTCAAGACTTAATGTGGATATTTTCTTAAAAAAACAAACATTTGGCACAATGGTTTTGTTATACTATATTTTTATATCTGGAATTGTATTGAATTTTAAATAGCCCTTGAGATATAAACTTGTGCTTTTCAACAGATGTCTGTGCATCACTTCCTGTTTAGATTTTTTAGTTATTTCAGTATAGATAGGAGTTATTTAGAGAGACTTTGATTAATTATTCCAGTTTGACAGACACATAAGATACATAATTAGGGATACAAATGCCCTTCTAGGAATCAGTATTAGAATAACAAACGGAGGGAAAACCAAACTTTTTGCTTGGTAGGTTTCATGTATTACAAAAAAGTAGGCGTGTGCTCCATATCCTGGCAGCCTGTAAAGTCACAGGCTGCTTTAGACAGAAGCTAAATGCAATGTCAGTAGAATTTCAGTAATTAAAGGAGCTGAGCGGCTTTTTTCCCTCTATATCGTAATACTTTTTCAAAGAAATACAATTTTCAGCTATGTGCAGTATGTCATCTTATTTCATAGAAAGGACTATTTATGTTCACCTCTGAAAAGTTACTGTATTTATACATAGGTTTAAGATATTCATTTTCCCTCTCATTTTAAAGCCCATTTCTCTAAGCATAATTTATGCTTCATTGCCATGCTTCTGATTTACTATATTAATCCCTCTCCTCTCCCCCCCCCCCCCCCAAAAAAAAAAGGAAAGCTCAAGCATTGGGTTTTGTAGCTGGCTTCCCAGAGACACTATAATGAAAAAGAGGGGTCGGAGGATTTTGTGGGTTCTTACCTTCACGCTAGCCCAGCATATGTTTATTTTTCAGCTCTTGGAGCAGTCCCCTCTCCTTTTGACTGTTACCTCTGCAGTCGAGGCCTGAAGACTCTACAAATTCGAATGCAGAAACATTTTGAAAATGGAATGGCGGTTGCCCAGTTTCTGGAATCAAATCCTCTGGTAGAAAAGGTCATTTATCCTGGTATGTTAATCTGATTTCTAAGCACATATTCTTGGGATTGTAAGGATTATCCTAAGCATCCCGTCTCTGTAACATTTATTTTCGAGTTAGGGGCCTCATATATTTTTATGCTGTTCACTAACAGTGGAACACTGCCGTGGGCCAGGCTCTGTGATGGGCCTGGTGGTGAAGAAGGTACACCTGGTCTCTGGCCTTGTGCTGCCTGTAGCATAGTGGATGCTTGGATGTTAAGAAATTGGTCTTATGCATTAGGTTAGCAATTTTCAACCTATTTCATCTCATGGCACAGATAAACTAATTACTAAAATTCTGCAGCACACCAAAAAATACATCTTTTGCCAATCTGACAAAAAATAGGTACAATTTTGATTCATTCACATTGGATGGCTATTGTTGTATTGGCTGTTGTCATTTTTTATTTGACAGTCTAAGGGAAAAAGAGGTCAGTGCCTCTGACTAAATAATCAGGTACAGGTAAAGCATGTTTAAAAAATTCTTGGAACAACACTGGTTGGAAATCGTTACATCAGATGTTCCTGTGTTGGTCTTTAGCTTGCCGGTTTGTTGTACCTATTTCAGGATTGCAACATTGTAGTTTTCAGTTGATTTGCATGTAACCTTGCTAGTCTGCTATTCTGCATTAGCTCTTTTATTTTATTTGATTTAGGTTGGAACATGATACATCTCAATTTGTGACTTGACACTTAGTACCAAAATTCCCCCAAAGCTCTCTTACTTCCTTTTCAAATTCCTTCACATATCACAACCTGTAGAAACGCTCATGTGGAATTACCAGACTTACATGTTACTGTTTGAATTTATTTTACCAGTCTTTTAAACTGTGGTGGTCTAAAGTAAATAGTTACTTTAATATCTTTTAGGTATGTAGCCACATGATCTTGGGTATACAGGAGAAATAAGCCTGATCCCTACCTTCAAATAATTTGAATAAATAAGCCAAGACAGAAATACAGGACAGGGCAAAAGTAGTTTTACAGCAGTGAGTTTCATGTAGTTTTACATGAAACAGTTTATTCTTTTTTTTTTTTGATGTATTATTAGTTTTTTTTTCCTTCTTTTCTTTTTTTATTGATTATGCCATTACATTTGCTCTATTCCCCCCTCCCTTCCCCTCCACCCTGCATACCCCTCCCCCACCATTTCCCCCTTTAGTTCATGAACATGTGTCTCAATTTCTTTAGATTCTGTATTTCCCCTACTATTCTTACCCTCCCCCTATGTATTTTCTATCTACTGTCTATGCTACTTATTTTCTGTACCTTCTCCCCCCTTCCCCTCCTCCCACTCCCCTATTGCTAACCCTCCCTGAGATCTTCATTTCTATGGTTCTGCTCCTGATCTAGCTATCCTCTTAGTTTGCTTTTGTTTTAGGTGTGGTTCTTAATAACTGTGAGTTTGCTGTCCTTTCACTGTTCATCTTTTTTATCTTCTTTTTCTTAGGTAAGTCCCTTTAACATTTCATATAATAAGGGCTTGGTGATGATGAACTCCTTGAATTTGGTCTTATCTGAGAAGCACTTTATCTGTCCTTCCATTCTAAATGAAAGTTTTGCTGGGTAGAGCAATCTTGGTTGTAGATCTTTGGTTTTCATGACTTGGAATACCTCTTTCCAGCCCCTTCTTGCCTGTAAGGTCTCTTTTAAGAAATCAGCTGACAGTCTGATGGGAACTCCTTTGTAGGTGACTGTCCCCTTAGCTCTTGCTGCTTCTAAGATTCTCTCCTTCATTTTAATCTTGGCTAATGTAATTATTATGTGCCTTGGTGTGTTCCTTCTTGAGTCCAACTTCTTTGGGACTCTCTGAGCTTCCTGGATTTCTCGGAAGTCTATTTCCTTTGCCATCTTGGGGAAATTCTCCTTTATTACTTGTTCAAATAATTTTTCAACTGGTGGTTGTGCCTTTCCCCCCTTCTGGTACCCCTATAATTCGGATGTTGGAACGTTTAAAGATGTCCTGGAGGTTCCTAATCTTCTCCTCATTTTTCTGAATTCTTATTTCTTCATTCCTTTCTGCTTGATCATTTTTTTCTTCCTTCTGGTTCTCTCCCTTGATTTGAGTCCCAATTTTCTTTCCATTACTATTGGAATCTTTTGTATCCCCATTCATTTCAATTAATTTAGCTTCCATATGTTTCTCTAATTTGTGGCTAAAGTCAACCAGTTCTGTAAGGATCCTTATAACCAGTGTTTTGAACTGTGCATCTGAAAGACTGGCTATTTCTTCATCACTTAGGTCTATCGGTTCTGGGGCTCTGAGTTGTCCTAGAGCCATTTTTGGTCTGTTCGCGCTGTTAAGTGAGCGGAGCAAAGCCTTAGTTGTTTACCAGGACGGGGCGACCCAGGTCGCTGGTTTGTGACGCTGTGTGTGGGGGCGGGGTCAGAGAGGGAGTAATGGCGTTCCTCTCCGTTAGCGCAGCGTTTCCAGTCACTCCGCACGCCTGGGGTTTATCCGATCGGAATTGCGCGAGCCTGCTGCCCCGCGCCGGCTTCCCTTCTCACTGGCTTCTCCCCACGTAAATGCGCGCGACCGACCAACCAATCGCCGCGCCTTTTCCCTGTGCGCTCCGGCAGCCAGCTGGCTGGCGATCAGCGCCCTCGGTTGCCTGCGCGCACCGCACACCGCCCCGGGAATTTTTTCTTGCTAACCTGCTCCGCTGCTGGCCTCGCTCCTCGTACCGGTCCAGCCGAGTATCTAGTTGTCCTTTGGACTCCGTATTGTCGATTTTCCGTGTGGCTTGGTTGTGACTGCTGTTAAAAATAGTTGTTCTTAGATTTGGTTGTGCACAGAGGCGAGGTGGATCCTCCATCTACGTCTCCATCTTGGCGGAAGTCCCGAAACAGTTTATTCTTATCATTTCATAATTATTGTACTACTTTCCATATGAACAACTGTAAACCTTCTTTTGCCTCCCCCTGTACATAGGAGATTAAATACCCTATATGTACCATAGGTAAAGAGGTGTATATTTTGAATGAAGGAAAGGAAGAACGTTTGGGCTGTGACCTGAAGAATAGGTAACACTTGTTAACAAGGCTTGGACAAGGCACTTCAGATTCATTTATTAAATACTAATTGCCAGCTGTGGATCAAGTTTTGTACTAGGAACTGGAATCCAATGATCAACAAACCATTGATTTCTCATGGAACTAGGCTGGTGAATATGACAGATATTAAGACAAGCAGAAGGATATCATTGACAAGAGGTAGGGCAGTCAGTGTGGAGAATGTCCTGGGTTATAGAACAGCAGGAGAAAAGGTCCTGAGATGAAAACAGCGTTTGGTACGGCTGGCGAAAAGGAAGCCGGTGTGGCCAGAGTGTGCAGAGGTAGGAAAGACAGGTCCTAAGGAAGCTAGAACTGAGACAGGAGCCAGAACTGGCAGCTGGCTGTGACCATCATGCAAAGCTCATCATTAGGCTTATTTGTAGCTTACTTAAACAAGCAGTGATTTTTTCCTTGTTTTGAAATTACATGTTTGATTCTAAACTGAGGCTTTCTCACAGGGCTGCCCTCTCACCCCCAGTACGAGCTGGCCCTGCGCCAGTGCACTGGGTGCCCCGGGATGATCACCTTTTACATTAAGGGCACTCTTCAGCACGCCGAGACTTTCCTCAAAAACCTGAAGGTAAACTGTCTTCTTTTTCCATTTAAAGTCGTTTTTACTTACCAGTTACAGTTGGCATGCATTATTATATTAGTTTCTGGTGTACACCCCAGTGATTAGATATTACATAACCTACAAAGTGGTCAAACCAATTAACCTCTCACCCATCTGACACCATACATAGTAATTAGAATATTATTGACTATATTCCCTGTGCCGTACTTCAGATTTCCATGACTCTTCTGTAGCAACCAATTGGTTTTTAAATTGTTGAGGAAAGACATAGCAGTTCATTATCTCTAAATTAATGGTTTGGAACCTGCAGGTCACACCCACCAATCTCTCCATCATGATGTGAATTGGGTTAGAAAATGACTTTGGTATGATAGCAGATACCTGACTCTGTTAACTTATTTAACTCTCCAGATACTGCTCTCAGTTTGAGAGAGATAGAATGTTCTAGTGCATTGGTTTCAAATTTATTCAAAAGTAAACCTCCTTTCCAAAGGAGAATATTATATGAGACCTCAAAGTAGTGTGTTTTTAGTGTAATGCACTTGTCTATGCTGAAATCTAGCCTAAGAATGGCTTTCCACACCCTGTGTCTCCCTAGCCACATCTGCCTGGGGTGAGGGAAGGGAGGTGTGGTCTAAATTTCACAGTGGCAGGAAGTTCTCAGGCGCCCTGGGAGAGAGAGAGGTCTGTGTAACCGTGCAGTGAGGTTGCACTGACCTCATGCAGTGAACTCTGAGTGTTAAGTACTCTGGGTCTAAAGAATAGGATGCTATCAGGTGAGTCAAAGCCCCGCCGGTGTCTAAAATTTGTTTGCTTCTAAAATCAGAAAGATAGTAGTGTATATTTATTGAATATGGCTGTGAGAGAAATGTTGAAATAATGGTAAAATTCTATGATACTCTTAACACTAAATACAAAAACTGAGTTCTTTTTTTCTTCTATTCTGGGGGGAGTTAAATGGATATATTAACTTAATAAGTGATACATACCAATGAGTAAGTGTTTAGACACTCAGATATTTCTACTTAAAGGGTAACCACAGAGGTAGGTCTCAAATGTAGCAATTCTGAAGTTTTAGAACTCATGTTCAGGATCACTTAATGACAGGGCAAAATGAGGAAGGTATAGGAGATTTGCCTTTATGATTTTTTAATGTTTTAAAAGTTTACACATGATATGTCTAATTAATGAAATCATTGTTACGGATTTTATTCTCATTTTTTCTCTTTCTTGCCCAATTTACAGTTTCTTCATAATCGCTATGTTCCATCCTCTGTTCCAGGGCCATTTTGTGAAAAACATTTATTTTTATATTTTTTATTGTAGTGGAAAATCTAAATTAATATTTTCTTTTCCATAGTTATTTACTCTGGCTGAGAGCTTGGGTGGATATGAGAGTCTTGCTGAGCTTCCGTAAGTGTATTTTTCTTTCTCTTCCTATTTTAACTTTGATGTTAGCTTTAATGATCATTTGGAAAAGGAGTATGATAATACCAGGAGTAGTTCGAGATACCTAATGATCAGGACAGTATGGTACTATCTGATCAGAACAGATTCTAACTCCACAGAATGGAGATACAGATGAAAACTGAAGGAGGCTGCTGATCTGTGTCCTCCCAAATTTTGCTTCTGTCCCTGTTCTGTCTGAAGGAGATTCCAGCAGTAGTTGAATGGTAGGCTTTCTGGTCTTTGGCCCAGGGCTACTTGTTTTGTCCCATTCCGCCCTAGCAGGGAGGTTGGAGACTGTGCTGGAAGGGCTGAGTTCAAGGCTCCCTGGCAAACGGGAATGTGCCTCTGATGAAACCCCTCCATGCCTTGATTGTCAGAGGAGAGCACAACCAGATATCCTCACATATGTTTCCTTTCTGTTCAACCTTGAATGGCTCCATGTAGCAAGGTAAACCCCAAATCCACTTACTCCTGGACCTTCACCATCTGACCCAATCTGTTAATTTAGTTTTATTAAAGCACCAGAGGATATGGGAATATGAAGCCGCCTAAGACTAGACAGTACAGCGCGTTATTTTACAGACAGGCAAATATATTCAGAAAGTTTTGCCGACGATTACTCAAGTGTCACATGGGTGCATGTTAACAGCTTCACTCTTGAGGCTTTGCAGTGAGGGGAGTTAAAAGCAGCCTGGATCTGGATTTGAGGTCTGTTCTATCAACTACTTAAACTTCGAGCCTCAGTTTTTTTTTAATCTGTAAAATGCACTTAATTAAACTAATGATTATTATGTATTGAGTACTTGTCCCATCAAGCACTCCTGAATTATGTCCCGGCTTCATTATATGTTACTGTGACCATACATTATAATTATTGCAGGGGGTAAATCAACAGCATTACCTAATAATTTTTTTAAAGATTTTGTTTATTTATTTTTAGAGAGAGGGGAAGAGAGGGAGAAAGAGAGGAAGGGAAACATCCATGTGTGAGAGAAATATCAACTGGTTGCCTCTCACATGCCCCCACTAGGGACCTGGCCTGCAACCCGAGCATGTGTGGGGATTGAACCAGTGACTTTTCAGTTTGTGCACCAGTACTCACCTGCCCTGAGCCACACCAGTCAGGCCACCTAATAATCTCTAACTGTACTAAATGCACATGCTATGTTTTTGTGTTTTCATTTCTATAAACATTTTCTGGAATAACTATGTTCTGGAAGCATTGTGTGGAGAGATTATGGAAATTTGGGCACATTTTCTGCCATCTCACAGTAGTTTACCATTTCTGGGGGGAGTTGGGAAACTTCACAAAGTTAACAACAATATGATACCCAAATAATGATTCAAATAACTAAGATAACTTCAATAGGTTTATGTTAGTCTTTCAAGGAAATGCCTGCTAGCAAGTCTGGATGCACAAGAGGGCACACTCAGTATAGGAAATTGCATTATTTTTCATAGTAATGAACTGTGTGTTACTTTAAGGCCAGTTTTTAAAATAAACCTCTCCTGATTTGTTTAGGGATTTGGGTTAAAGTTACTTGGTCCTCAGGAGCTCCAGCGAGGCCATAACCCCGATGCCGGTAGACAAATGAATTTAGGTCAGAGCTTGTCTGTTCTATCACCCTCCTTCTTTGTCTCCCAACTTGGCTGCAACTAGTGCAGCATTGCAATAAGGGAGGGAGGAAGCTGGTCTCCCAGCCTGAAAACATGTATTAATTTTGTGACCTTAGAAAATCTACCTACCCTCTTCTCAACCTCAGTTTTCTCAATTGTAAAATCTGGATAATACTGGGCCCAGCTCTTAGGGTTGTTGTGAGAACATGAGGAAAAATAATTCCTAAGCTAATGTCTTGATTCATATTAAGTGCCCAATAAAATGTTGACTACATGGGTTATTTTTTTAGCCACTTCCTACATTACTACATTCCAAGTACATTCCATGTACTTGCAAGTGCTTGTTATATGTTCCTTTTATTAATGTGACAAACTTTTGAGATGGATGTTATATACAATTTTCATCCTTTAAAAGTGAATTAATGCACATAAATGGCCTAGAGTACCTCTCTCACATTAAACACCCAACAAGTGATGGCTGCTGTTATGCCGGAGAAGGAAGTTTACTGTGAGGATGGGTAACTTTCACAAGTCCACACAGCCAGTATGTGGAGGGGCTGAGGTTCGTATCCAAGTCATGTGGTCTCAGGGGCCTAAGTTGTCTCTACCTGTGCAAGCTTTTTAAAGGGATTAAGAGCCTGAAAAGGCCGAACCTTTCAAGGAGGATGTTTGTGTGTAAAACTTTATTAGAGTGATCAAATAAATCCATTTATTTTGACCGTGACTGAGATTTTCTTTCCATGGGTCTGAAGTGAGATGGGAGAAAGCAGCTTCGGTGTTGATTTTGCTGGTCGCGTGCAGGGACGGGCTGAGTGTTGGTGGCAATGCATGTGTCAGGGCTCGGAAAGACTGTGAGCTCCCCTGTGACACCTCAGCCCACAGAGATTTCTCCCTCCTCTGAACTCTGACAGTCCTTGTTATTATACGGATTTGGCATTTGCTGTTAACTATTCCGTTTTGTGAATTATTATAGTCTTTAGCTCTTGTTTTGTCGTCTAAGGTAAAGAAAATGTCTCATTCTTCTTAGTTTCCCAATTCCATTGTGCCTGACCCATGGTAGGGTCTCTACTTTTACACCTGGGTCATGTGCCGGAATTCCTAATGCACACTGGCTGTTCCTAGTGACCTTGGGTTGCCTTTTCCAGATCTGCCTCAGAAGGCCCAATTCTGGATTGATTCATTGATTCAGAGGAAATTAATTCTGGCCAGCTTTTGGCCTAAGAGGCCCCTGGTAAGTCCAGCTAGTTGGTCATGGGGTATACGATTTCTGACCAAGGCCTCATTCAGGCAACGTGTTAACATGCACACCCAACGGGCTGTCTTTCCCTCCTGCATGGGGTACCTGGCTGGCACCGTCAGTGGACTGAAGTGTACCTTACTGATGGTGTAAAAACGATAAAAGATTTTGGATTTCAGTTAAAATAATGACTAGAAAAAACAATAGTAACAATTTCTTTATTTTTTGTGGAAAATTATAGGTACATGAAAAATTTGATACTTAAAGTAGAAACAATTTTAAGATAATGCAACTTAGGAGACAGAAATATGCCTCCACTGATATAATATAGTGATCGAAAATTTGCTCACTTTTCTTTCCAGGGCAATTATGACCCATGCATCAGTGCCTAAGAGCCAAAGAGATATACTTGGGATTAGTGACACGCTGATTCGACTCTCTGTGGGCTTGGAGGATAAAGAAGACCTATTGGAAGATATAGAACAAGCTTTGAAGGCAGCAGTAAGTTTTAGTACTTTAATGAGTGGATGTGTATGTGTGTATGAGGGTGTGTGCTTAAACTTGGGGGCGGGGGTCACTATATTTATAAAGAGAGGGTTCATAATGAATGCTTAAAGGTGTTCTCTTCCTACAATAAACACTGTATATGTATGCAGGGAACTCAGTCAAAGTCCAGATTTAAAAGGTGATAGTATTCAGGAAAGTCCTTAGAGAGGAGGTGAAGTTATTGCCAGCATGTTTAACAACCTACTTTTCTTGTGCACTGTTATTACAGCATCCTCCCAATGCACATTGAGCCTAGCACGTTGAACTACCGTGAGAAGTTGCTTCCTGAGGGATCATCAAATCAGAATAATTGAAGGGACCATGAATGAACTTTTGCAGAATTTTCAAGTAAAAAATTTAAGGCACCTCATTACCTTTCACAGCTATAATCCTCCAGGGATCATCCTTGTTGAAAACAGTTTCCTCTTTCCCTTACTGTCATTGACAGGTGAATTCTGTTAGTATTTTTTTGTTAATTTTGGTATCCATTTGCCTCTTAAAGAGGTAAAATTTGGGTTGCTTTTGGGGATTGTGCTCTTTTTTTCTCATAGCTTAAGATTTATATTGATCATGTTTACAGTATGGTGATACTGTTAACTTTTGGTGATTTATATTGATCATGTTTACAGAATGGTGATAATTCACTTTTGGTGTTTTCTCAAGAATTTAAATTATTAAATGAATGTTTTTAAATCAAGTGTGGTTTTTCATAGTGTTGAAGATGGCTCTTCAAGCAGTGGTTTGCTCCTAATTGTGATAAGCCAAAAATCAAATGCTTGTAAAGTCTATCATGAAATTCTACCGATTTAAGGTTGTGTTGCACTATTCAAAAAGATAATTCTAATTATTAAATGCATTCTATTGGGATATTTCTACATCATGGAAATTAATTTGTATTCTTGGGCCATTTTAAAGATTTTTATTTATTTTTAGACATAGGGGAAGGGAAACTGGAGGGAAACACCAGACTATTGGTTCTTTCTTGCACACCTAAAGCAGGGGACCTGGTCTGTAACCCAGTCATGTGCCTCAGCTGGGATTTGAACTGGCTACCTTTCAGTTTGTGGGGTGACGGCCAACCCACTGATTCATAAGTCAGGACCAGGGCCCTTTTAATTCTCAGTTCTTAGAGGTCTCAGCCTCCCCCATGTAAGTTAATTTTTATAAATTCAATTGTATAACTATTATACTCAAACAGTGTTTGCAAATATAGCTGTAAATAGTAGGTCAAAACCCACTTTTGTAGAGAGAAATCATGCCTTTTAGGTTTTTTTCTGAAACAGATGTAAGGCTAAAGGAAGAAATTCTTAATACAGAATCTTATAGTTTAAGTGCATAGCAAATTATTGTCAATAACTCATAGGTCAAATAATTCCATTTTTAAAGTTGTTTTATACTAAAAGCTTTCAGTGATTTGTTTGCTATTACTATTTGTTTCAGTTTTTAAAAGACCATATTGAACTTGATTAGTAATAGTGCTGCATAAGAGGGGAATTCATACTAATGCACATTCTGAATTATGTGCATTGCCCACACTCTGAATTGTATCTGGAGAGTGTAGAAGTTCTGTCTATAGGTAGCAGCATTTGAAGCAGATCATAATCTCACAGTGGTTTCTGGTGGGCCTGATTCCTTGCCATCTATGGACCTTAGGGCTGTGGAAATAAACAAAGACCAGCCAAATGAGAGGAGTAGAGGCATTTATTCTGAGCTTGTAAGGAAGCAGCTACTTTTACTTGTGTTTTGGCAGCGACTCAAAGGCAAGCAGAATATAAGGAATTACAGAAATGGTAATATCTGTTGATATGGATGAGAAACTAAAACTTCCCTGTTTAAAACTATCAGATGGCTCTCAAATGGGTAACATTAAATCACTGTTAGAAACGCTAAAAAAAAAAAAACCCCAAAAACAAACCACTAAACCCGAAAGGCAGACAGAGGAGTGGAAAAGCTATTGTGTAAAAAATGGAAGGCTTCAGATACACCCCAATCGGACTTCTGCTGGCATTCGGGAAGTTGTAGGCAGGCTAATCTGAGGAGGGGCATCCTGTGTGATTGGTTACGAATGCATATTTGGCTTTTTAGCATTGATGGCTGATCCTTGTTCAAAAGCAAGAACAAAACTTAGGAAAGCTGTCAATTATTAATCAAGTCCTGGCCCTTCGGGGCTGATTGTTATGAAAGTGATTTAGCTTCCTAGATTGTCACTAGAGATAGCAATAGGTTTCTAGTAAGCCTGATCTCTAAAAGGCTGGCTTCCTGGGTTGTTTATTGTAGATGAAGGTGTTGGTTTTCTGAGTAGGTTGCTTTAGACTGTGGGTCAAAGTTCTGGTTTTATTCATGGTCTATCCATTGTCCATTTGCATATCCAGTCTCAGAGGTTCTGGTGAGCACTAAGTAGCTACTACTCTGTTAGTGTTCTCCAGAGAAACAGAACCAGTAGGATATATGTGTAGATGTATGTATATTCAATACATACAACACATGTATATATATGTGTGTATATATGTACACACATATATATATAGAGAGAGAGATTGATTTTAAGGAATTGGCCTGTGACTAAGGGCTGGTAAGCTGAAATCTATGGGGAAGGCTGAAAATTCATGTAAGAGTTGTTGTAGTCTAAGGCAGAATTGCTTTGAGAAGCGTTAAGCTTTTAAGGCCTTCAATTGATTAGATGAGGCCCAAACACACTATACAGACTTGTCTCCTTTACTCAAAGTCTACTGATTTAAGTGTTAATCATATCCAAGTGATGCCTTCATAGCAACATCTAGACTGGTGCTTGAACAAATAGCTAGGATACCATCGCCTAGCTAAGGTGATGACATAAAAAGTTAACCATCACAACCATGTTCTTGGCACTGCTCCTTACTGCCTGAGAAGGCACCATTATGTTTATTAGGATTTATGAAATTTATCCACAGCTTTTGGTTATCTTCAAGTATGTCTCTCTCCGTTAGCATAGTTCACACAAAGGTGATGATGAGGCTTTTAAGCATGGCACCACCCACTTACAGTGCATCTGCCTTTGTGGAGGGAACATAACTGGACTGCCATGTTCTAGGCAGGTTATATGAAGTTACAGGATGCTATTTTTTTTTTTTAATATTTTATTTATTTACCTTTTAGAGGGGAAGGGAAGGAGAGAGGGAGAGAAACATCAATGTATGGTTGCCTTTTGTGCGTCCCCTGCTGGGAGCTGGCCTGCAGGGAACTGGTCTGCAACCCAGGCATATGCCCTGACTGGGAATCGAACCTCGATTGTCTGGTTCGCAGGCCCGTGCTCAATCCACTGAGCTACACCAGCCAGGGCAGGATGCTATTTTAATGGAGTTGCTTTTTATGGCTCTTTTTCAAAATTTCATTCTACCTTTGCATTTTACTCTGGGTACTGTTGAAATTCTGAGTGAAATTAATATCTTACACCAAAGTCAGCGTTTATTATTTTAAGTAACACACAGCATCATGTTTTTTTTATACAGAGAGGTGACATTAAGAGAAAACCTTATGGAGCCAGGAAAGTACAACAGGCTCATTTTTCTGGTGACTCAATTTGTGCATGTATTTTTTTATACCTGAGGTAATTAATTTATAGCTGACTTCTAGCCACTTTCCAAGTTAAGTGGGGCTGTACTCTTCCTTGTACTTTTTTGTTAGTTTTTTAGTGACTACTATTATAAGCAAAGTGGAAAAGATGTTCCATTATTTTGGAATTTTGTGCCAAAACTACTAACTCTGAGATGTAAGGGGCAAAATACAAATGTAACAATAAAATTTAGAATATTATTTTGTTGATATTAAAACATCTTTAAAAAATTTTTAACAACAGAGTAGGTTAAATGACCTGAATTCCACAGAGAACCAAGGGAACAGTTGGGAACTACAAATTTATTTTACACAAAGATGGAAATGAATGCCCTATATTTTTATGACATGAAAGTAATATGACTACTTTATTATTCAGGTGGACCTGAGGACAATTTCAGGGAAAAGGAAATAAAGCTTATAAAATGCACTTCAGAAATAAAAGAGAGCAAAAATGTTTCACAAAAAATCTCTCTTAGGTCAACATCAAGAAAAATTTAAAAGGTGGTAAACATGATTAAATTAAAAGCCATCAAGAGATAACAAAAGTATTATTATTCAAAATGAGAAACCTTGTCTTAGAAATGATCCAAAGGCAAGTAAGGAATAAAAAAAACTTTTTCTATCATGGACTCTGTTTGCTTCATAATATAACTACAAACTAAGGAAAAAACACAGTAAAAATATAATAACTTTTAGGATAGAAATAGAAAATTAAAGAAAAGATTGTTATTTGTTTATTTTTAATATTCACTTTTGATTCAATATTGACTTGCAGCTACCAAGATCAATTCAAATTTGTTCCCTTGAGAACTATCAGATGCTGCAAAAGCTCTTGGTCTTTCCAGGAATGTGCCTCCCACAGAGGACATGCAGCCTAACACTGGGGATTAGAGACTTCTGAGTTCATTACTAGTTTTACTACACTTTCTATCTTGTTTCTTCAATTAGAAAAAGGTCTAGACCGAATTTCTTTTTAATTGGCTCAATGTTCTCATACCAACCTGTTGAATAGGAAGGTTCAAATATAATCCATCCTCTACAGAGAAGGAAAGGAAGATTCTGAGTGGTCATGTGATTTCACCACATCACACAGCTAATAAAAATGCCTGGCAAACCCAGGCGTAGAACTTGAGCCTTCTGCTCTCTCATTTCATTGTTCCAGTGCACCGTTCTTAGTCTGGAACAGAGAATTTTTAAGCAGATTAGAAAGCTGCTTTCTTAAAATTGTGTGAGTTATTATGTGATCAAGGCCATCATAATGAAAACCCTATTTTCTAGTTTGGAAAGGGAATGAGATAGCGACTGTATAAGATGAAGATATGTTTTATTTAAATGGCTTATTTTATTTTGAAGGATAATCCCGCAAAGTCCAGTCTTGGTCTGTTCCTCAAGGGTTGGCCTCTCACATAAATATCCTAGAATAGAGGCAAGGAGGAGGGCCTTTCACAGTTCTGTATTGTTCAGTCACTGGCCATGGGCTGGGGCAGGGAAGGTGGGGGTGGTTGGAGGGAATCTGGGGACCCCCACCTGGTGAACTCGATCTAGCTAGCTGATGGCAATTTTTCTGGAGAAGCGTGGATGAGTGCCCTGACCTGGTAAAGGGGACCCGGTGCCAACGTAGCATCTGCTGTGTGCTACAGCATTCGCTGCAAGTAACAGTCTGTGCCTCGTCCATTTACAGCTAACAACCGCCAAGCTAATCCAAAAAATTAAACATGGTTACAGTGTAATTATTAGACTATGATGAAATTCCTTCCTACCTCCCTCCTTTCTTTCCTTCCTTTCTTCCTTCCTTCACATTGTTTTCTTTTTGCAAAAGTGATTTTGCTCTAGAGAATTAGGAATTTGCAGAGAGATTTAAAAAAAAAAAAAAGGGCTTCCATTACAGAAAAATGGAAACGAAATTTTCTTAGTTCAGAACCCAGCACAGGTGCTCCAGCTATGTTTTGAGCAACATTATTTAAATGCTGCAAGCTTCGATATCTTTCATGTTAAGTAAAATGAGATAACAATGTTTGTGTCTTCGAGTTGTTAAGAGAATTAGTGACATGCAGTGCATCCAAAGAACTCATGCAGCAGGTACCCGGTCATTGTTAGCTGTCCCTGTGGCTCAGTAATACACATTGGGAAATTTCTGTCTATGCCTTCAACTTCTTTCTCTTAATTATACATACAGTGTTTTGAATATTGGAATCAGGACAAGTAAAAACTACCCATCCAACTTCTGTTGTGTTTTAATTTAGAGCACTCTGCTGTTGTCACTTGGTAGAACTCTGGTTATCCTGCTTGAAGGAAAATGGGATGTGGTTTTCATTTTAGCTCACCACAAGCTGCTTCAACCAACTGGTGTGAGGATTTTTTTTTAGTTGAGTATGAGAAAGAATGCCAGAGGATCTGGCTGGCCCATACATGGTGGCTAATACAATGATCTCAGGGTATTTTGAAGATATAAAGCAAGTTTGAAAGTTTCATCACCACCAAAAAGCAGTAATGATAATTGTAATATGGTAGAAAAGTGTGAAACGGTTCTTGTTTTAAAGGAACCAAAGAGGGAAATTAACTGTTATAAATTCTTCATTATGGACGAGCTTTTAGCATGGGAAAAATATTAAAATACAGGAATCCTCTTGCCTTTTTGATTCTTGAAAATTCAATAGCTTTTTTAAAAGGCAAAATAACCAAGTTGCAATGAGTGATTTGGTGAAGCAATCTGAGAGACCGCCTCTTGTTTTGGCCACCTGGCACCCGTTTGACCTTCAGGCAGCGTATACCCTGTGGGAAGCTTCCCCACCTCTATTATCCATCACTGGTCTTGCGGGGAGCTCTAGTGGGGAGCTCAGATTAAACCTAAACTAATCAACCCACCTGTCTCCTTGCCACGGTGATGGTTCTAGGCAAACACCTGGTCTAAGCCAGACCAGTTTCAGTGAATCCAAGAACTGTAATGAGAATAACCAGAAAACGCATTTTCATTCCCTTTTATTTGAGTCTGGAAGTATGTAAGGTGGAGCTGCTGCAGCCACCTCTGCACCACAAGGGCAACACCTGCCTGTGAACGTAAAACTATGGAGAAACATCTCTGAGACAAGGACAGAAAGGGGGCCCTGGTGATGTCTTTAGGATGTGGGTCTAGTTATCTTGGAGGCCAGATCTATGAGAGCACACATCAGTTACACAAGCCAGTACATTTCTTCTCTTTCTCCTACTGCCTCCTCCACCTCTTTTTTTTTTTTTTAGTTAAACCAGTTTTTCTTTTGTTGTCTTGTTACTGCTACTCTTATTAGCTTAAAGTGTCCCATCTGATATTAAAGAAAAAATTTACTTATAGTGAGTAATGAAATTTTACTTATCTTTACATTTTTGTTTTTACAAGTTATACATAAAAAATATTACCATACAGGCTTAATATTGTGTTAAGGTTCTCCAGAGTAACAAAACAAATAGGGTGTGTGTGTGTGTGTGTGTGTGTGTGTGTGTGTGTGTATGTGTGTGAGAGAGAGTCTCACTGGACTAAAATCAAGAAATGATCAGTCAGGCTATGTTCTCTCTGAAGGATCTAGGGGAGAATCTATTTCCTTCCTGTCCAGAACAGTGTGAGTCCCTCTCTTGCTTTAGATTTCTCCTCTTCTATTTATTATTATTTTTTTTTACCATATCTCTCTGATTTAGTTAAAAAAGATTCTTTACTTTTAAGAGATCATATGATTAGGTTGAACTTGAATAATCCCAAATGATCTCCTATCTGAAGGCCCTTGACCTTAATCATGTCTGCAAAGTTCCTTTTAAGGTGTAAAGTTACATCATCACGGGTTCTGAAGATTAGGACAAGAACATCTTTGATAGAGGGGCAGCATTATTCTGCCTCCCATAAACTTCCCATTTTACCATTTTCTTATTTTATGGAAATTCATAATAAACAAAAACAAGGCAGGAAATTTGTAGAGGCAGCACCTTGGTTTCCTGTGTTTAGACACAAATTTTAAAATAGCGAGTCTGAAACAATAAGCTTGCTCTTTTAATTTGGATGCCAGAGGCCAGATTTTCTAAATTCATGGAACAAATAGCTACATATGGAGAGGAAAAATTAGAACCTTCAGATTTGGATAGTCCTCCATTCACAGTCTGCTGGAAGAATGTGTTATTAGCAATATAAAAGGGGAGAAAAATAGTTCTAATCACAGTTTTAATATAATGACAACCATGTGCTGCTTAATGATGAAGATACATTCTAAGAAATGCATCATTAGGCGATTTCATCATGCAGACATCATAGACTATATTTACACACACCTAGATGGTAGTCTACTACACACCTAGGCTATCTGGTACAGCCTACTGCTCCTAGGTTACAAACCTGTACAGCATGTCGCTGTACAAAACAGCAAGAGATGAAATCGAGCACAAGAGAAAATGATGCCATCAAGAGATATTGGAAACATGATATGTGTGGGGTTGCTGCTGGTGTAACGTGGTATACTGTTTTACAGCACAATTTTTCTGTAAGTGGAAAGAGTACGCTATAAAATAACAATAAAAGTATATTATATTAAATACATAAACTGGTAACATAGTCACTTATTGTCATTATCAAGTATTATGTACTGCGTCCAGTTGTATGTGCTGTGCTTTACGACCAGCAGTGCCATCGTTTTGTTTACACCCTCCTGACCACAGACACATGAGTAATGCCTGCACCTGGATGTTACAGCATCACTGAGTTTTCAGCTCCACTATCATCTCAGGGACCACTGCTGTATACGTGGTCCATCATCATGTGCACATGACTGTTTACGAACTATAATTATATTAACTTGCAAGATCACATATTTTGTAAAGCTGTGGATTATTTTTAACATACTATCTCTAGAGTACATTAAACTTTTTTTCAAATACAGAATAGGGTTATGAGTATGGATGTTGTTGGAACCACATGACTTGAATTTTGAATCCTGGTATATTTTCCACAAGCAACTTTAGGCAAATTGCTTAGGCTCTATTTCTTCATCGCTAAAACAGGGATAATAATGGCGCCTACTTCCCAGGATTATTTTGAAAAATAACTGATACAATACTTAGTGGTAAAGTGCTTGGCACTATGTCTGACATGCAACCAAGACAGTCCCTAAATAGTGACAGTTAGTACTAGCAACAATTATATTGTTGCTTCAAAAAAATTGACAGAACAGCTCATGATTGAAAGAGCCCATTGTTTTGAGAAGGGACTTGAAAGTGGTCACATAGCCACTTATGGTGGATCCAAGACCAGAGCCCATCTCCTGCTCTGTCTAGAACTCTGTTCTTGTTTCCGAGTCTCCACTGAGGCTGCGTAAGCAGTGACATAGATTCTTTTCTCTCCCAGTTTTAGGGAAAATCTGTAGGAGAGAAGTGTGCATCTTGTCTTAACATGCCCCAAATCAGTTATAGCCAAATTTGACTACCTTTTTGCTTTGCTATTGCAAAAAATACTTCAAAACCCATTTCTCTTCTGACTTTTCACTTTTTCAAACTTTTCACTTCAAAAACTTCAAATGTTTCTGAAGTTGCTGGAAATTGTGATAATCTGTTTTCTTGATTATTTGTTTTTTTTTAAAAGGTGTATCAATAATCCTTGGTAAACCTTCA